CGGCTGATACAGGACTATAATGGAATAATAATAATAATACACGCAGCGCATGATGCACACCCCACCAATGTTTGTGCACCTGAGAACAAGTGACGTCATCACGCAACACCACAACGCTGCGATCGCGTAGCACTAAATATTTGTTTTGGGCTACAACAAGGAGGGTATTGTTTGGGCTGTGGCAAAACTCAGTGTAGAGTTGAAGCCCATCCGTAGGTCCAGTCGGTCAATAGAGAGGCTCAATTTGTCGTCAGGCTGTGTACTCTGAGCAGTTCTTTTCGCTCTCATATGAGGCAGGCAGCAGAAAGGAAGCCTATCAAAGTCATGAGAGCCAGAGGGCCGATGACTACCTCAGCAGTTGAGGCTTTAGAGCTGGAAGCGTCAGGCGAGATAGGAGCGTGAGACTGCTCAGCTAACACAATCAAAATCAGCAAGGTCATGATTGGTAGACGATCGAGGTAATGAGTCTACTAGGCGTTGATTATGTCGATGATGCTGGGAGTGAGCGGTAGCATGGCTGGTCTTCCAACTGAGCACCAAGATAGAGGCCGGTCTTAGGGGAATTGCCGTCAGAATTTTGGAATATGAGCTGGGCGTTGCAGAGGGATAGGCTATTGTCTTCGTAGTTCGCAGTGCTGTGAAAGTCTTGGGTGAAAATCATTACGTAGCAGCGCAACAACAGCTTCGACTCTAAGCAGAAAACGCTCTTGATAGACGACAGTCACTATTGCTGACGGACAAGATTGCGCCTTGGCCAGCATCGCAACTGCTTTGAGGCTGTAAATTCCGTGTAAAAGTCTTAAGGAGATGCTCACGATATCCAACCGTAGCAAGTGAATGAGTACAGCAAGAAATGCTGCTATTGATAGAGCAACTAGTTGAATTGATAGCCAAGCTACACTAAATTAAGACTTAGAGCGTCGTAGTCTATGTACAGGAATATGTTGTCAGAAGGATCATGTACAACAGATGATGCCTATCTAATGTAGCAAGAGGTCTTAGTTGGGAAGTTAGGCAGGGCAGCCGCGACCCCAGGTAGTGGAAATAGCGCAGCAATCGGCATCCTTTGTCCAAGTTAGTATTGTCTTACAAGTAGACGATGATTGTCACTTACGCATTGGGCCAATGTGATTCCTACGTCAGAGCAATAGGTTACTGCACCCTTGACATTGCAATTGATCCAAGTGGGGATGCCCGCGATTTGCTGTCGTTCACACGCAGCTTTACTGCTGTAGCAGCAATCATCGTCTTTATGACAATTACCGCTCTACAATTCTCTTAGCTGCAAATATTTCTCACATGTTTTACTACTTACACCCTTTCCCCTAGCGTCCAGTTCGGGGGGGGCTGCCAACGCAGTGCCGGTCATAATGGCGACAAGGAAGCCAGTAGTGAAGATGGAGAACTGCATCTTGGCTTAGGAGGATTATGGGTTAAAGAGTGTGTGATTTGGAGAAGACTGTAGTAGTTGATAGTATCAAACAAAGCGAATGTAGTTGATGATGTTCTGCTGGACAGCAACCTAACATTTAAATACCCTATTACCTAGTTCTCGACTTATTCTTCTTGCACGCAACTAGTGCACTACCAGCGCTTAGCAAAACTAAGTTTAATAAATCAGATTACGCCAAATTTCCAAGTCAATGGATAATGCTTGTTGCTTGTTTCTGAAGATTGATGCTTTGTTCGAGAGCATAACCCTTAACGCTGCCAAGCAGTGCAACATGTCACTACTACTGCATAGAACGAGGGAATTTTAAACGTGCCTACAAGGATTAAGTGCGCTAGAAGGTTCTGGAAACGATGGACAGGCTGCAACTAGTCCTAATTGCGTTGGCAGGTTTGACATAGCAACTTGGCGCCACATACGTAGTGTTCATATTTTAACTCCTGCTAGTGTCAGTTTCAATAGTTTCATGTAATTTGCCTATTAGTGCCAAACTTTAACAATGTGCACAGACTCGTTTCGTTAGAGAAGTCTCTAAACATTTCAAGTACTAGGATCTAGGCCTAGCTAATTTACTTTAGTGATTGGTCTAATCTGTAGCATTCGGGCCTATCTATTCACATGAATGTTCCATGTCAGTGACTTCTACTAACTTGTATTGCACGTTGAACCAACTCTAAGCATATAAACCAAAGCAATCAGCCAACTGCAACCGTTACCCATCAATCACATCAACACTCGCTTCATCGCATCACAATCACCTCTACGTTCCATCTCAACTCTTTTGGCTTAAGTCAAATTACTTACTCTTGTTCTACAACTTCGAAAATGCATTTCACCGGCTTCACTGTTGTTGCTTTCTCAGCTTTCCTTCTTACAGGCACTGTCTCTGCTGGTGTTGGCAGCGGTTGGTGCCATCAACGTAACAACTGTTGTTACTCTTCTGGAGCAGCTTGCAGGCGTCAGTTTGGATGGGACATTACTGGAGTCTGCGATGAGGGTAGTCACGACCCTAGTCTTTGGACTTTGTGCGAAGAAGTCAACGTCACTCGTAAACAATGTGTAAGCATGGTTCACACCCCTAAACTTCGAATTCTATGCTAACAGATGCTTTGAAGGACGCCGACTGCTGCGACATTAAGACTGGATGGGGACGCGGTTGCCCCAATTAGATGTAGTCTACTATTGTGCCGTAGCACAGAGTGATAACTAATAAGGAATTACCAAGTATGAATAACTAACTGTGACTTGGTGGAGTCACGAGTGCGGGGCGGTAGTATAAGGAAGGATGAGCAGAGCAGAACAGGCGGATACTCATGCACCCACGAATACCTAATCCTCAGGTATTTTTAATTCAATCTTCTGCAAACCTGATCCTTTAACTATTGAACACTTGATGCTTATGCCGTTCATCACCATGAATTTCGCACTCCTCTTAGTCTTCACCTGCTCCTTCCGTGCACTGCACACCAACGAGTTGCTTGAACACTACCACTAGAACACTATTCTTGAATTCTACTAATGAAGCTACGAATGTGGGTGAGGGTAAGCACAATGTTGAGAAAAAAAAATAATTTTTTGTTTGGTTAAACGATAAAGTTAAACGCTGCGATTTCAACGGTACAACTCTTATTTAAATGCGATAAGTCGTTGTTAAGTTATTAAGAAGAGAAGGTGGAAAAGTTGGTTTTGCGTAGAACCGCGCTAGTACTAGAAGAGGTTTTTTGGCTTCACATAGTACTAGTCCCAATTAGGCAACTTACCTTAACCCTACCCTATCCTTAATGCTCGACGGAATTAGGGTCGAAATGACCCTACTATTACACGGGGTTTGGTGCTGATACTTCTCTAGGCTTAATTGTTACACGGGGTTTGGATCTATACTTCTCTTGCCGGGTCCCACACTATGGCCGGTGAGCTTTACGCTAGTGTTCTGGCGAGACAGTGGAGTGGTGTGCTTGGATAGAAAGGTAACAAAGGTTAGACAACTTAATCTATATTGCTATAGACTAACAGGTAACAATCTT